AGGCATACAATTGTGACCATCTGATATTTGTGAATTGCAAGTTTCACACATTTCCTTTTTTCTTGTTTATTCTCTTTCTTCTTTTATTTCTTAATTTGTATCTTTTATCATTTACTCCTATACCTCTGTTTTGTTTTTTACATAAAAAATTCTTTTTTTTTTGTTTTTTGCTTCTCTACAAAAAGATGTTATCAGATTGGTGATGTCCTATTGTAGGGCAGCAGTCAGACAAGCAGTTTATCTCTAACTGGGATAGTGCGGCAGATCGTACTTAGATACCATTTGGGTGGCCAGGTAATGCTAGACTTATATATCAGGAAAATTTTATGTAATCTTTATAGTTTCAAGAATCCTAATAAAGTACTAGCGTGACTGCTAAAGTTAAAAAAAAAAAAAAAATTATAATAATTTATATATGTAAATATTAAATAAAACATTGCTTTTTTGTTCTTCAAAAAAGTTAAGTATTTCTACACACTTTACAAGTGTTTTCACACATTTTACAAGTGTTTTTATACACTTTAGAAGTGTTTTTATACATTTTAATAGATAATAAATGAATGCAATTCTTAGTATATTTATATACTATTAATTGTTGCCTCTGTTTTAAAACATTAATTATCATATATCTTGTTAAGTCTTGTTAAAAATTGGTTAAATCTGTTAAGTTATAGTCTTTATATCATAGTTAAACAGCTTTTATCATTATTATTAAAAAAAAAAATCTTTGTATTAATACCAAGTTATTGTTTTAATCTTAGAACTATTTTATTTTTAAGATAAACCTTCTAGAGCCTTTTGTATCTATTTTTACAACTTATTTAGTATTGCTATAGCAGAACCAATACTTGCAATTAGAGCTAGTTATTAAACTAATATGCTTTTATAGAATGTATTCAAATTTTAATACTATTTAATAGTATATTCAAATTACTTTAATATATTTTGCATTGTTATCAAACTTCTAATGCAGTTAGTCTAATAGAATTATAACTAGTTTATTGATATATCAAATTGGCCCAATATTCTTTTTTCTTGTTTATTCTAATAATCTGGTTGGTAATACCCCTTATCTAAATGTTTTTGCCTATCTGGTTCTTTTATATTAATATCTGTTTTCTAAGGCTAGTCTTTAGAATATTATTGTTAAAGATTTATGTTATCTCTCTGCTTAGATATTTTCAAATAAACTTCTTGTTTTCTAATTTTAACAGATTAATTTAATTACAAAGACTTATTTAAAGTTTGTATCATCTAATTTTAATTTGTATTTCTTTGTATAACTAGTTATATAAATGCTTTATAACTTATTAGTTATACTGATGCAATTATTATTACAGAGTATTTTAATTTAATTGTTAAAAATAGTTATTATAATATAAATATTATATAGGTGATTATCTAGATTTTTGCTATTAATGAGTTTTGAACATTCAACCTACTACTTAGGTAGTTGACAACTTATTTACTTTACTAAGTTATCATACTTCTTAATAAGCTTTTTAATTATTATCTAAAAAAATATATAAATATATTTATAGAATAAAAAAACTTTTTTATTAACTGACAAAATCAAGAAAACAATTTTATCAAATTAATAACAAAACTAAAAAAATATATCTACTAGACTATTTTATAAAAAATTATAAATTGCATGCATAAAAAGTCTTATTACAATATATAAACTATACTAATATAACAACCTTTTAAAAAAAAATCTTTAATAATCTTTTAAAATAAATAATATAATAAATAAATATTGCAAAAAAAAACTTGTAAGTAAATATTTGTATTATTATTATAGAAAATTATTTATTTATTTATTTATTTTTTATTTATTAAAACTGATATTTATAATAGCTATAGCCTTTATTTATATTTTAGTTAATGCATTATATATAACTTGTACAAGATAAGTATACAACTAGCTATATATGCAACTTTTAATTACTTATTTAAGTAGTTTGTCTGCAAGTTTTATATTAACTGCTATATCTATAATTTATTAGAAGATTATTTATTTAAATACTTTAATTTCTATATTGTACACAAGTAAATAATTATCTAGTTTCTATATAGTGAAGTTTTATCTAATTTAATATTTAGCTTTTTATATATTCATCAAGCCATTGTTTGTTCTAGTGCATATTATTTAACTGTAAAGCTTAGAGAAGTTTAATAGCTAGCTCTTATTGCAAGTATTAGCCTTAGCTATAGTATTTATATAAAAATTACTTTTTGTACATAGTAGCTTCATATAGTTACTAACTTTTAAACTACTAATAAAGATACAAACAAGGCTTTTCATAATATCAAAAGAAAATTTTTTTTAAAATTTAACTTAAATACTATTACTAAATATAAAAATAAAATTTTTAAATTTAAAATTAACAAATTTTTAATTATAGTAATTATTACTATATTTAGAGATTCGCTAAAGCAGGGTAACTATTAAATTGACGGTCCATGGGTCATGCAAATCAATTGACATTAGCACATGATCGACATGTAGCAGCCAATAGAATTATGATTCAAATGTCCAATCAAAATCCAATCATGCATCTAATTTTAAAAAAAAATCTTTACCTAAAAAAAATCTCGTGGTGGGTTAGTGTTTTGAAGTCGGTTTTGAAAGAAAAAAAAAAAAAAAAAAAAAGACAAACAATAGGTTCAGGGAACTTATTATAATAAGTTTTTTAGCAACAGATTTTATATGAAAAAAAACTGCAATAACCTATACATATAAAAGAACTCCATACAAACGAGTGGGTTCTGGCTAAAAAAAAATCCTGCAGCAAACAGCAATCGAGCAGCTTTTGACTATAACAAAACCCTCACAGCAAGCAGCAAACAAATGGTCTCTAGTTACAACAAAATTCCACAGCAAACAACAAGCGAGCAATAGCAAACAAACAGTAATAAAAGTCCTACAGCAAACAGCAAAGAAAATAACATTAAAAATAATAATAATAATGATAATAATAAAATAATTAAAAAAAAAAAAAAAAAAAAAACCAGTAATGACAGGCTTTGATCAGCTATAATTACACGAACACAGCAATGTCAACCATCTGAGACTGTTTTTTTAATGTGAATGAAACATTTGAGCTTTCCACTGAGGACTTTAACAAGCAATGGGCTCTTGTTAATAACTTTTGGACAAAATACAATAGTTACATATTAGATAATGGCAATGAACATAAGACTTTCGTTTGTAGACTTTCAAAGCCTCAAGAATCAAGTGGAAGAAAAGAAAATGTTCCCTCCAAAAAGCTTCACATAACCTGAAAAAAACCCGCCATCAATTGTGAAGCTAGAATTAGAATAACATGGTTGGCGGCATTGAATATAGTTAGAATTGAGAGGGTAAGAATAAATATAACATTATTTAAACATTGTAATATTGTATTGTTTTAATAAAAAAAAAAAAATTTAAATTGTTTATAGGTTAGTGGTACCTCTGATCATAGCCATTCAATAGAAGAAAGTGATATGCGAAAATGGTTAAAATTTATTAAAGATATGGTGGACAACGAGGCAATTAAAGATTACAAACCCCCGACGATTGCTAATGTTATTAGGAAAGAAGCCTCTAAATTATGTGAAGACTCAGGCGTAGAATATTTAAAAACCAAGGAGGTCGTAATATCAAGCAGAAGCTTGTTGGACCAATGAATTCACATTTTGTTGGAGATGCAAATTTAAAACCTGATATCTTAAATACAATCAAATTTTTAATAGAAAATAATTATCAAGTTGAGTCTTTTTAAAAGCAAGAATCACTTAAGCATTTGCGGGGTTTATGCTTTGCAAACTTTTGGCAAATAGAAAATTTAATGTGTTATGGCTAGTTAACACTCATGGATTCTACACATAACACTAACAAGCACAGGTGGTGTTTATTTACTTTATACATCCGCGATAGCTGTGGGTGTTGAAATGTCAGCACACACTTCTTTGTTAATAGAGAAAATAGTAAGGCAGTCACGTCAGTGTTAAAAATTGTTCGAAAATTTGCTCCACAATGGAATCCACAGTATATGCTTCTTGATCAAAGCAGTGTAAAATCCAATGGTGTTGTGTTAACATTTCCGGGTCTTTCTGCAAATAGGAATAAAATAAATTTGTACTTTTTTTTTTTATTTTTTTATATTTTTTATTTTATTTTATTATTATTATTATTATTATTAAAATCTATAGGAGAGCAGGAATATGATGTTCTCCTTTGTACCGTGCATGTTGTACGTACATGGATGAAAAGTATTTATCATAGCCCGACACTTAACAAAATGATCCACACGATGCACAAAAAAACACAAGCAGAATGTGAGAAAATTGTCTGTGATGTCATAAATACCTGTTCTATTCAAGCCAATGCTAAATATATTGCCAAAAACTATCTAAAAAATTTGAGACAATGGTCTCTCTGGGCTCGGCAGCATTCACCACTTCTTCTTCAAATTACTTCTACTAACCCTTTAGAGTCTTATCATAGTGAGCTAAAAGCAAAAATTTCTGTTTAATACGGTTTCATCGGTGAGTATTTTCTTCGAGTAATTTTAACTATATTTTTTTTTTTTTTATAAAAAAAAAAAATTGCTTTATAATTTTAATTTACTTCATTTTTCAAATTACCGTGCTTAGCAAATTTTATTATCACACGTAAATCCAAATTTTGGATATACTATAAAATGCAAATCTATAGTTGACTAAAAAAATCAGTAATCGATTTTTATTTTTTATACTCAATAATGGCCTGGTTAATTTAAATGCTTAAGACTATTTTTGAATATTGAAAACAGACAGGAGATTAGTAAGATTCCTTCGCTCAAAATTTATTTGAGTATAATTAAAAACCAAAATTTTTTATTGTTTGGTTAATCAATATAATAGTAGGTATTATACTAGAAAATTAGCATTCAATGTGGAATCTTTGGAAGTATTATTATATTCAGTACCGATTTGTAGAAAATAAAGAATTTAAAGAATTTTGCAGATTCTGCATGATGTGTGATTGAAAAGCGCAGTAATTTTGATTAAGAAAAGCGATAAATTATGTATTATATTTATTAAATCATTAAGTTTATTATATATACTTATATATATATATATTTTTATTTTAATTATTATTACAACACAGGTGCGTGTAACATCCTTTTAAAACTCAACAAAAAAAAACAATGGCTGCAAAAGAAACTGCTATCAACTTTCGTACCAAAAAAATTTTTCTTGCTAATATTAGGCCAGAAATCCTTACTAAGGTCCATAAATTTTCTTTTTCTTTTCAGAAACTTATCGCAAAAGAAGTACATGCCATCTTAAAAAGGCTGAAAGAGGGAAAGTGTGCACCAAACCTTGCAAGTGCAGAATGCTCATGTAGATTCTTCAATCAGTATATGTTACTGTGTCATTATATTTTTCACAAACAACTTTGTGGTTCCAATATTTTAACACCAGAAGCGTGGGGTAACTTTCAAAGAACATTCGAAGAGGGTGGCATAGAAGTATATCAAACCCATGGTATTGTAAAAGTACCTGTAATTCAGAATTCGGCTGAAAAAAAGGCAGCTGAAAAAAGTCAATCAAGAATAAATGAATTGTTTGAAAGAACCCAAGACTGCTACTATAAATTGGCAGAGGAAAGCATAGATGAAGCATCACGGTTCGTTGGAAGTTTGGAAAAAATTTTAGAGCCAGTGCTTAATTAAATTTTTGTGAACAAAAAAAAAAAACAAAAAAAAAAAATAAATAATAGTTATTGTTCTGGAATGAAAGAATAAGCACAAAGCATTTATTTATTATAAATAATCTGCCAAAATGGATTGGAATAAAAGTTGAAAAAGATAGCACAAGGCATTTTAAAAATATCAAATGTACTGTATATGCAAGAAGTAATAAATAGCATAATAATACAAAGCTGAGTCATAATTCTTTGTTTTTTTTTTTATTCATTTAAAAGGGAGATTTTTTTTTTAAAAAATATAAGCAATTTTAAAGCCAATGTTTATAAACTAGAATAGCTTACTTTAAACACTTGGATTCATAAATTTTCTTTATACAATAACAGAAAAAAAAAGAATCTAAATAGTAACCATTCATGAACCGAAAGTTTACTTTGAACACTAGACTAATCAATTTTCTTTTATTACGAACTAAATTAACTCGAATTAAAGGAAATTAAATAGTAAATACTCATGAACCTGAATAGCTGATTTTAAATAACTAGATTAATAAATTTTCTTTATACTTACGCACCAAATCAACACAAAAAAATGAAATTAAATATTAAATATTCTAAACTTAAATTAATAAATTTACACACCAAATTAGCCTGAATTAAAGAAAATTTAATAAATATTCATGAACCTCAATGGCTTGTTTAAACAGTTAATCAATAAATTTTCTTTATACTTAAGCCTAAGTCAACATGACAAATAAAATTGAATAGTAAATGTTTATAAACTGGAATAGCACTAGTAAAAAATAAAAAATTTGATATGTTAAATGGCACTATTCGAATGCCATTTGAATAGTGCCATTTAAAATGTTAAATTTTTTATTTTTTACCAGTGTAACTTATTTTAAATGCTTAAATTAATAAATTTCTTTGTGCTTACGCACCAAATTAACCTGAATTAAAGAAATTAAATAGTAAAATTTATGAACCTGAATGGTTTATCATAAACAGTTAGATTAATAAATTTTCTTTGTACTTACGCACTAAATCAACATGATAAATGAAATTAAATAGTAAATATTCATGAACTGGAATAGCTCATTTTAATGCTTAAATTAAAAAATTTCTTTGTATTTATGCACAGGAAATTAAATTGCACATATTCATGAACCTGAATAAATGCACTAAATTACAGAATTAACAAAAAAAAAAAAGGAAATTAAATAGTAATTTTCTTCATAAATTAACACGAAAAAAATCAAATAGTGGACATATATTTAGATTAATAAATTTTTTTATATTTACACAATTAACACGAACAAAATGAAATTAAATAGTAAATATTTAATAAAAATAGCTTATTTAAAAAAAAGACACTAAGCCATGTTATCCCTACTCTTACCCTCTCAATTATAACCATATTTGAAGCCGCTAACCAAGTTTTCTAATTCTAGCTTCACAATCAATAGTGAATTTTTTTCAGATCATGCAAAGCTTTTAGAAAGAAGGTTTTCTTTTTGTCTGCTTGATCCTTTAGGCTTTGGCTTTGATAATCTATAAATAAAAGTTTTACATTCATCATTATCTAGTTTGTGTCTATTAAATCACATCCATACAAGAACCTATTGCTTATTGAAATCAAAGCTCAACTGTTATGGCTATAGCATAGTTTTTTTTTTTTTTTATAACTACAAAGCTACTGTTTTGTTGTAAGGAGATTTCTTTTTATAAATAGTGTTCTTACAAAGAACTTTGAACCAGCAAATAACAGAAAGTTCAACCATGTAAGATACCTCAACGATTTAAAAAAAAATTTTTTTTAAATTTATGAATAAATTATTAAGCAATAGCATAGAGCACGTTGATTGGTTACAGTTGATGAGATAATCAATTGACCTGCACGACCCCTAGATTGTCAATTTAATAGTTACCCTGCTTTAGCGAATCCCTATATTTAGTAATTTTATAGTCATGCTAGTACTTTATTAAGCTTTTGAAATTACATTTGTAACTACATAAATATTCCTAATATCTAAGTCTAGCATCACCTGGCCACTTTATTGGTACTTAAGTGCAACTTGCTACATTACTTTGAACAGAAGTAAGCTGCTTGTCTAACTACTTAAAGTCTATAATAAAAAGGGCTTTTCTTTTTCATAACAAGTCTCAACATTGTCTTTATTATTTCCTTTTCAACTTGCTTTTCTTTTTCTCTTATTTTTTCTTTTTTTCCTTTTATTTTTTCTTAAGGGTAGAGTATACGATGTTCAAATTATATATAAAACTTTTGGTAAATTTTTATTTAATTAAAAATAGAAAAATATTTTCTTAAGTAAACAGCTT